TAAATAATCCAAACAAATAAAATGAGTTTTTTAAAATAACAGAACAGGATGCTTTGTTGATAAATATGAGATCAAGCTGTATTATATTTTTGTAAATGTTGGCAGAAAATATATTACATTTGGTGACACAATGAAGAAAAAAAATAAATATAATGACTGGTAAGTTTAGTGAGGCAGTAAATCAAGAGGCCAGGACAAGATTCTGGCACTCGCTAGAGACACATTGAGAAAACCTGATAACAGTTTAACATTCCTTTAACTGGAACCCTCAGAGCAAGATATATTGTGGATGGATATATCATAAAATTAACATTTTACTCTTTACAGAACTGATAATATAGAATAAAACTATATGTATTGTAATATTTATTACTGGTATAAATTATAAAAAAATTAAATAAAACTAGTGTATAATCAATTTATTACAAAGCATTAAAAGTCAATGGCTAAGTACCAGCAAATAAGTCGCAAGTCCAGATTTTGAGAGCATACAAGGCAACATACAGGTGTGGTCTTTGACAATCTTGCAATCTTTAATAATTAGGGCTTTTGAGCTGAAATGCTACAGAAAGATTCTCAGTGTACCATAGACTAAAAAGAAAAATACTGACTTCTTAAAAGATCACAACATCAAAGTAAATTAGTTCATTAACAGCATCTTTCCTTGGAAACTGAAATACTTTGACCACGATCATTTTTGTGCCATTACACTCTGGGGTAAGAGGGAATGAACAAGTGGATTGGCTTGATGGCAAGGCCTCGGTAGGTACAGGAAAAGCAATGGACCGAGCCGACATTCTCAGTGCTCTCAAGGAGGCAACACTAAGAAGACTGCAAGAACTTCAGGTCAAAAGAGGTGTTGCCAAACATGAACACTAGAAAGGTAGCCAAAGAAGAATAGTAAACTGATATAGAACTGGTGTTATCAGTCGCCACATACTAGTGGATATACTGAAGATGGGATCCGAGCGTATTAGGACTTGTCCGATGTGCAATAAGTATAATCTTTCGATTAACTAACTAACTAACTATACTTTGACCATTACAAACATCACATAAGACTGGGAAGGAACAGTAATGGAGGGTATGATACCAGGTAAGAGGTGCAGGGGCTGAGGAGCACAAAGATGGGGGCCAGGACGTAAGGGACGCATTGGGTAGGGAATTGCATGGGGCGAGAGAGCTGGCGAGGGATCAAGTTTCTTTTAGGCTTGCTGTGATGGAAGGGACAATCCGTAAAGAACCTGCTACATGTGTGAATATTTCATTGTCATCTAGAAAAAAGAAACTAAATTTCTTCTACTTCTTCATTTCTTCTTTTACCACTTCAAGAGTCAAGGGAAATTCACGGTTCTGGTTATGACATTTCTGGCCTGCTTGACAATATACTTGATACTGTCATAGAGTTTCTATGATGTTGCATCTTTTTGTCTTGTTGGTCTACAAGAAGCTCCGTTGTTCCTTGAACACCCATATGACCTGGCACAAAGATGAAGGTTAGGGCAGCCATTCGCGAAGTGCTCAGTTTTGCAATCCATTCTTGTCTGACAAAACCAGCCTGGATTTTTAAAAGTAAATTCACTGAGACACTAAGTATGCACGGGTGTGTGAACTATTGAGTACCAAGCCATGCTAATGCCCTTGTTACAACCACTTTCCATTGTAAGGCTGCTGGTTGTAACAGAAAAGGTGCCATTCATCTTCTTGATGGTTTTCTCCCTTGAGCTTACTGTGAATGTCCATGCACTTTGCTTGCCCCGAATTACTGATCCGTCTTTCAGGCGTGCCATAGAGAGAGTGACATTCTGTATATGACAGGCTGACTGATTGATTGAGATCACTTAAAATATTCCCAAAGATGAATTATATGTATTATTATAATAATTATTTAAAAAGTCTGTTTAAAATGCTTAACTGTCTATACTCCTACAATCTATTACAATTAAGACACAAACTATGCAGTATTAAATAACTGAAATTACTAACAATATTGAATTGTAAAAAATATATATCCCAACTTTAACCAAGATAGGTTGAAAATGATATAATTGTTCAAATTACTACAATTATTATTTATTTATTAAAAACATGTTTTGTACAAGAAACAAGATTTTAGATTTATCGCAGCAAAATAAAACAAGCCAAGCAGGCAAGTCAAAACTGACCAGACTGAGAAAAGAAACAAATACTCCAGTACAAAAGTATACACATGAAAAATAAGATTCCTGAAAGTATCACAGAGAAATAACAAGATATGCGAAGCAAATAAGCCAAAATTGGTATACAACAGTAACATGAAATCTTTCAGTCCCAAAAGTTATTAACTTAACCCTATCTATCCCAAGGTGTTTACTTTAAAAGCAATAATATTTAGATCTGTTGAAGCTCAATAGAGACACAATGGAACAGAAGAGGTTAAACCAATAATTCAGATGCAAAGGTTGAAATAAAGAACATCATGGTATCTTTGGAATGGCCAAGAAACATATGGTGAATTGTTTGGTACCGAAAAATAAAAGTTGCCAGGGTTTGACACAATTACTTTTGTTCATTCTTTCATTTTGGCTGCAAGATTTCTTCTGTGAGGTTGCCTTCTACATCAGTGTTTGCACTGTCTGGTTCTGCAAAGATAATTTAAATTTAACAAAGGAGATGATTGATATATATATATATATGTTGATAAAGGTGGAGACTGGGGTGCTCCATGCAGAGTAGCAAGCATCACTTCAGAGGTCCCGGGTAGTTAGCGTCCTTTGAATATTTTATCCAGGTAAAGCTGGTGGGTTGGGAAATGAGCAGACAGATAGACTGGCTAGTTCCACTTAGCTTAGTGGTGAATTGATGTATGACAAGCTAACAAGCTAGATGTTGTGGTTTGAACAGTGAGGAGGCACAAACAGATCTTTTTTGTCTGAGGAGAATAACGCTGCAGGCAGTTACCACAGGATCTGGCTGAGGCTTAACACTCAAGGGAAAGGCGAGATGGATGTACAATAAGACAGCTACTGGTACCATCTGAATAGGAACTCTTTGTTTGCTTCTGAAGATGAGGACAGAGTGAGTATGGAAGTTCAAGAGGGCTATGATGTTGATCTTAATTCAAGATTTTGCTAGTATCCTCCCTCAACTGGCTCCTCCTCCAAAAGCCGTTGGCCCAATATAAGCTGTTAGGTCTGATCTTCCTCTGTGTTTGCCTTTAAAAGGGTGTTTGGCATAGAGTTGTGTTTACAGCTAGGCTGTGATATCTGTACTTTTCAGCCCACTACATCCACTTTCATTAAATCCCTAATTAGTTGCCTTTTATGACTAACACTAATAATCTACAAAATATCAAATAGCCAAAAGTTTTAACAAACATACAAATCCAGTATACTAAAAGAGGAAAAACTCTGTTTATCCCAGTTCAACCCAGAAAGGTTAAGCAGGATATTTATAATTAAATTACTAAAACTACTACTGTCATTATTGCCTGTAGTTAAAAGTTATAGAGCAATGTATGACTGTTTTGGGGGTGTCTTAGTGGGCCTCAGGGTTTAGGGCTGCATGACCAGCCCAGTCACCACAAAGCTCATGTTGATGATGGTTTACTGTGCATGGAGGTGTGTCGGCACACGAAGTGATACATGCTGCAGGAGATCGCAGATTATGGAGAGGCATGATCGCCCACGCCAGTCGGCAAGGCACCTGATGATGATGACTGTGTATAATGATAACATTAATTAATACACTTTCAGTGTTTCCATGTTTCAAGGTTTGTAGCAACAATAGCATTTATTTTCCTGGATCTCATTTGGGAGTCACATTTCCAATCTGGAGTTTTTTTTTACCCCACCAGTTTAGGGGTGACCTTTCGCACCTGATGAACGGATCACATTTTTCACCTGACATTATGGTCATATTTCCCACCTGATGCAAAGGTCAAATTTCCCAGATGCTATAAGTGTGCTGTTTCCCATATGTCCAAAGTGTTATATTTCCTTCCTTATATAAGAGTCCTGATTTCCCATTTGACTTATGGGTCAAATATCCAATATGATGTGATTTTTTCTATATGATTTAAGTGTCATATTTTCCCCAAAATGATGAAATGATCATATTTCCTGCTTGATCTAAAGGTCATATTTCCTACCTGAAGTCATCATCTAAGCTGCTAAGCATCTTGGGGAGGAACAGTTTGTGATTAATTGCTTGATGAGAAGCAATGGCTGTTGTCAATTTGTGTTGATGTAGCTCTTTAATGTCATCAGTTCATATTCTCCTAGGGCAACCTCTTGCTTTAATATCAGATCTTTTCATGTGTAGTGCCTGCAGTGGTAGTTGTATTGGCTGCACTCTTACTAGATGACCAAAACCTTTGATCTTCTGTTTCTCAATAAATTTTCTGCATAGCGTTGTTCTGACAGACTGTCTGAAAATATCATTTCTAACTTTGTCTCAGATGGTTACCTTTTTCAGTCATCTCATCTTATAGGTGTTAATTTGACGTACGTTAGCCTTTGATAATATCCAAGTCTGGCACAGGTAGCACAGTTTTGTTATGAATATGATGTTTACAATCTGTTTCTTGGAGCTCATACTTATACTGGATGTCTTAACATTTGCGTAAGCTGGTATATCAGTGCACTTGCTCATTGGCATCTTGTTTCTATTTCCCAGTATATTCTACCATCCTCCAAGAATATTCTTCTAGATATTTAAATTCTTTAACTTGCTTCAGACAAGTACCATTCAATCCTATATGTAGGGACCATATTTTCCACCTGATGTAAGGGTTGAATTTCCCATATAATGTAAGGGTCATATTTCCCACCTGATGTAGGGGTAACATTCATTACCTAATTTAAAGATCATTTTAATCTAAGTTATGGAATACCTTTTACTTATTTGAATTCAGGATTCATGTGAATGAAGAGAAAGAAGCAGACAATAATTAAGTTTGTGTGTGAACACAAGATATCTAATTAGGCCACAACAGCAACAAAAACACCAAATATACCCACCAAAGGCTTCATTGATGTAGGCACATTTCTCTTCATCAAGCTGGATGTCTACATAGCTGTTTTCATTTGGCTCTCTTTCAACCAAACTGGCACTGCTTTCAGAGTTCACTGAATTATACAATCTTTCATTCTCCTGTTGGATCTTTTTCTTGATCATTTCTTGCACAGCATCATAAATAAATATGTACTGACTCTGGAAAGGAGAAGGAATTTTGCTGGGAATGTATGCAGTATTTGTTGTAAATATATATAGCCCCACAAAGCTAAAGGCAGCTGGACTAGCATAGTGGCTAGATGCTTGCCTGAAGGCCCCAAGGTGTTGGCTCGATTCTGTTTCGAAGCAGATTTTTTGTGTGCAGAACTGACCTTGGCTCCTAGGTCAAGCCAGCCTAATATGAGAACCAGGCAATATCATGGGAAGTAAAGACGGCTAACGTGGTGTTCACCACATAACCCATAGAGTGCCAATTGATCTAAACAAATATGACTAGCATCATATGCTGGTCTAAAAAAAATCCTTAACTGTACATAAAACTATAAAAGTGAAATACGTCATTTAGGTAAGCACGTTATACAGCAATACCCGTATGCTAGAAAATATTAATAATCTATCAATACTCTTTTGCTCCTCCTCCTTTCACTTCTTCTTTTTCTTCTTCTTCTTCAGATGCTTGATCTGGTTCACTTTAAAAAAAAATTATTTATGAATTTGATGTTGCCAATATTGTCATTGCTTTGAGTTGATTTTGACAGGAATACGAGTATCATACCATTCAGGAAAAGCAACTGCAAGCTCAACATCAATGGAAAGCTCAATATCAGTCAGTAGATTGTTTACAGAACAAAATTTCTTCATGTCAAACTTAAAAGTCTCTCTATTTTTAGCCAGCTCTCCAGCTCTATGAGCTTTTATGGCCTATGCATGTTCAGTGTCTGGTATCCACCTACGTGAAGGTGGGCCTCTGCTTTTTTTTCCAAATGGCAAGTTCCTGAATATAAAATTGTGTGAAAAACCCATATCACAGCTAATTTGGTCACAGGCATAAGGGAAATTTAAGGCGGCTGTGATATGCGTAAGAAGATGCTCCATACCTCACCTCAGGTACCAGCTTGCTCTGTGCTGGTTTTATTGATCCTCATGCAGGACTCCTGCCAAATTTCCTCATTGTGTGCTGTGGATAATGGCTCATTTGAGCATAAACTGAGCTGGCAGGGGATCTCTGACCCACCAGAGATGGCTCTCATCAGCCCACTCCTAATGCATGGGTCATAATGTCAGTCAAAAAAACTGCAGTTGGAACACAAGTGTAGCCGGCAGGCCAAATATCCTACCATGTGACAAACCTTGGTTCAAATGTCTGGCAATTGTAATTTATAATGATTAGGCTAAAATGTCTGTCAGTCGGATGTTGGCATGTGAATTGTTGAAAGCTTAGACAAGCAACATCTCTTGTAGTGGAAATCTCATAGTTCTGTCCTAGGGCATAACTGCAAAATTTTAGATGTCTAACCATTGAATGCCTTTCCGTGTGAGAGGCGAGGTTAAGAATTTTTGCCACCAAAGGTCCTACAATTTTACAGAGAAGGCCCAAATGTGCCCTACCATTGGCCACACTCATTGTAGTGTCTGGAACAAACATGGAAGTCATGCCTGATGCATGCTTTTCTGTAACTGTCATGTCCCAGTGCAACAATGGTAATGGTCACACTCCTAGACCTTTGGGCTGCTTTTCCTGTTATTCTTCAAAGGGTACAAGCCGTAATGACTGAGAAGTTCAAAATAGAAATGTGAGGTCGAGCAGTTGTGTGCAGGATGTGATGATTCCTTGGGTTGGCAAAGGACCAGAGTGTTACGTGTCAGCTCTTTCTTTATTTAAGTTTTCTTAAATGGCAGGGAATGCCCATGATCTGCCTCTGCCTTCCGCTGGGTGGGTTCTCCAAGGGCAAAACCTATAGATAAAGGGACAATGACAACATTACACAAATGAGGCTATGTTATGTCCTATGAAACCAAATGGGAAGGCTAACCGGGTGAACAAATGCCCTATGAAGTTGGATGTGTCAGTCTGAAAAGCCTAAATATCACAGCTATGCTGTAAACACGCACAACACAGTTACCTCAGTCAGATAAACAAAGAAGAAGAAGAAGTATAGAAAAACCATGCAACAGCTAATAAATCCTCGAGATGTTTTTGTGAAGTCCTGTGAAGTGGTGGTTCACATATCAAGAATAGATTTCTATGCAGAATGTGATGACATGATTTTTTTTCCCTTCAAAATTTACATGGTTCCAAACTGTCCGGTGACCCCACACCAGAACTTTCATGATTTCATTTGAGATCATGACCAATGAGTTATGAACAAGTGCTTAAAAAAACACAGTTTCTGAACTGAGATGCTGTCTTCATACATTGTTTTACATATTCTTCTACCTCTTATGCCTACTGTTTTTCCACATAAGACTATTATCTCCATTAATACACATCCCTCTTCTCCAGGTTCCTGGTCTGGAGCAAGCATCCTTGATCAGGACTCTCCTTCTCCTCTTCTTCGTTCACCGGCTGTGAATTCCGGAGAAAGGTCAGGGTTAATCGCTTTGCTTTGACTTTTGGCTTTTACCTGGAGCTGAGTTTTTCATGTACAACCATTTTACTGGCTTTTGCCTTTCCCAGACTTACGGGCAGATGTACTCCGACTTCGAGGAAAGACGCCATGCCTATTTCTAGGATGACTGTGGCCATTGTTTTGTGTGGGTCGAGATGTTGCCTTATTTGTGTGGTGTCCTCTTTGTCCCTTTATCTAAAAGTGTTGCCCCTGAAGTACCCCCTTTTGGACAGCCCTGTGTGGAACGGTTAGCCCTCAAGGGAAGGCAGGGGCAGATCATGGGCATTTCCTGCCACCCAAGGAGGCTTTCATAAATGCAGAGCTGACACATGGTTTTTCATAAATGCAGAGCTGATACATGGTTCTGAGCTCACCCAAGGAATTGTCACGTCCTGCACATGACTGCTTAACCTCACAACCGTATTAGGCCTCCTGCTCGACATGGGCTGCGCCCTCCAGAGATCAGCAAGAAACAGCACATGGGTTCTGGACTTTTGTGACCACATTCTTTTGCGTCACACGTTTTATATCTTTAACGCGCCATTAGTATGACAGAATGGAGAATCCTGCATAAGGCACGTTTTTATCTGTTTGGTCCCAACACTTGGGCCAGTGGGGTCTCAGGATGTGGTCATTTGGACCTTTTCCCAAACAATTTGATTTATGATGGTTGGATTTTGAGCTTGCTCGTGTGTTGTAGGATCTATTTTTTTCCTGGACATTTTGGCTTAGCCAGCCAATGAACGGTTGCGGTCGTGTTGTACCTTAGCGTGGTGGCGATGACACTGAGGGTTGACAGAGGATGTACATGGGTTGAATCTTGCTGTGAGAGGCTATCCACAAGAGATGTTACTCATCTGAGCTGCAGGTAAATCTCTTGGTCAAGGGTTGAGTATTGGATCTCAACACAATGTTCTCTTCACTCCACAAACTTTTAACTGAGGGTTGTCATTTTAGTTATACATTTGGCAAACATACTTTACTCATGTTCCAAATGAGTTTTGATAAGCTGTTTTCACCCATGCATTTGGGGACGGGCTGATGAGAGTCACAAGGACACTGCACCTTTGAGGGACGAGATCCCCTGACAGCTCTGTTAATGCTCATTTGAGACACTCTCCATGGCGCACGATGAGGACATGCGGCAAGAGTCTTGTATGACGTTCCGTAAAACCAGAACAGTGAAGGACTGGCGCCTGAGTGACGTACTGAGTATCTTCTTATACACATCCTGTTGAACTTTACCTCACGCCTGTGACAGAAATCACAGCGCCACAATTAGGACTCTCCAATCCTCCTTGCTATTTGATCATCTTATCTTGATCCTGTAGCGAGCATTGGATCAGGCTGATGTACTGAATGCTCTACAAGAAGTAAGACGTTTGCAAGAATGAAGTAATATCTGTGAATCAGCAACCATGATCAAACTGCCTCTTCTATGTTCATTCTTTTTGTTGTAGTTTACAGTTAGGCTTAAATATCTGTACATAACTCCACTGATTTCAGCAAACCCCTAATAATCATCTTTTATGATGTCCTAGAGAAGTGGCTAACAAGCAGTTATAAAATGTCAGGCTCTCAAGTGGGAGGCCTGAGTTCGATCCCTGGTAAGGTGACAGAGTTTTTTTGTCAGGAGCAAAATTAAACATCCTAACCTGCACAGTTCGTGGTGATAGTACTTGCCAGGTGGCCCTAAATTCTCAAGCTCAAGCTCCACCGTACATCTACACTGCCCCAAAAAGTGGTAAAACAGACTGTAGTGACAGTTTATAACCTGCTTGCTTAGGGGGCAGTATGGATTCCCCCCCCCCCCCCCCCCCGCTCCCATCAATTAAAATGGGGCTCTGCAATCCACAAGAGGAATAGCAGATTTAAATGGAAGACCTTCTGGCCAAGAGGCAAACCTCTGTGCTACAATGGCTCCTGAAAAGGTTAAATTTAACATCTCAATAAATTGTACCTCTGCCTGGACCATTCGAGGTCTGTTTCTTCGCATTTTCAAGACGTAGTCATAAATGTCAACATCGTCGTCAAGGCTGTGCTCATGTACGTACTGCATGAAGTAGTCCAAGGCTATAAAAGTACCTGTACGCCCAACACCAGCACTGAAAGATTTACAGTGCAATTAGTCAACTTGACATCAAAGACTAATTCATCAGTTTCTCATTTCTTCTTCTTCTTCCTTGTGTTCTGTAAACTCTTGCAGAACATCCTGGTTGTTCACCACTTCTAGACTTTGAACTTGTTCCAGGCCTTAAGTGTTGTGTGGACATCCATTTTATGGCTGATCTGTGTACAGACTATCGATTTCTTGCCTTTCAGGTGATCCCGACATTAAAAGAAACTTCACTTCTATCTCTACATTGGCCAGGGTTCCTGTTGTGAATCTGTAACCAAAGAAAGGTACAGATATATCTTAGCCAGTTCGAGCCCTGTCCTGGTCCATCAGTGCATGTGTTCAGCAAATCTGCATCCCTTTCCTAATTTAAAAAAAAAAAAAAAAAAAGTAAAAAGTAAACAGGAAAGGTTGCTGGCTTGAAGGTCTTGGGTACAAATGCACATCAAAGTGGACTTTTCTAATTGAACTGGGCTTTCAGGTTGTCCCAGTCTAAAATAAGTACCATGAAATGTCCTGGCAGTAAAGGCAGCGAGAGTGATGTTGACCTCATAATGCATTTTGTGACTATTAATCTTTTTTCTTTTTCAAAATGGATCTACTTGATAATCAATGGAATTTAAAATATCATTATTTTAAAGCAAAGATAGTCACCTAGTGTAGAGTATTAGGTCTTGACATATTCTAGGCCAAGACATAATTAGGTGGGGTGTCAAGTTTCATGGTATCAGTCTTGAGAGTAGATTGAGCGGACCTAAGAGCTGTTCTGGTAGGAAACAAAATAATTGTACAACTTTTGGAGTTGTAATCTACAATACTGTTGACCCATAAGAAGAAGAAGTTGTTTACTACAGAGAGAATATGGAGCTGCAAGGCATGAACGTTTTGTTATTTGATTAATGAACAAAGAGGGCACATGATCAGTCATTTTACACCCATGGAGCCACTCAGGATGAGGTTGGGGCCCCTATGGATCTATCTAGAGTAAGTAAAGTAAAAAGTAAAGATCCCTTTTCACGCCTTTCGGCGCATCAGGCATATGGGCAGAGCGTCCCATCTTTTTACAGACCATCAGCACTCTGTGGGTAATGTGGTCAGCATTACGCCGGCGTCTTACTGAGCCCATCCTGCTCTTGCTGGGTCGACCTGCGACGTCCCATACCATGACAAAAATCCACGCAGTGGGTTTCCATCGCGGTATGCTGGCTTACGAGTCGGACTCGCAACGCCTTAGCCACGGACGCCGCTTCTATCTAGAGTGCTGTGATGATTTCTTCTTCTTCAGCATCCTTAGCCTTTGAGGTTCCATGCTGCAGATATCACCTACCTTCATTCCTCTCGTCTTCTGACTCTGCCTTGTGGTCTACTCCCATTTGCTGGTGCCAAAATCTGGGGCTCATATGCTTGACCCCTTCCCCTGGGCTTCAAATTTTTAGTGAGCTGAGCACCTCCACCTCCATATAATAGTTATGTAAGGGTACTAGGAGGCCTCTTCTATTTATCAAAATTCTCTTTAAAATTACTTGTTCACGCATTTCATATTATTTCAAGTATAATATTCATTTTCCATTCAGCATATTAATAATAATAATAAGAAGAAGAAGAAGAAGAAGAAAAAGTAATAATAAGAAGAAGAAGAAAAAGAAGAAGAAGAAGAAATATGTGTTAAATGACAAATAAATATAATCATATATTTGGGAAAGCAGTGCCAGAGCCGGGAGCTCAGGCATCTTGAGCCTTCCCTCCCTCTTTCTCCTCACAAATAAACACAAACAATATTAGGCATAGATGAAAAGCATTCCAAATTAAATCTACAGCTCACAGTGCACTGAATCCAGTAGCTCAGCAATGGAACTATATCCTTTCAGTCCATATATGGAGAAACATGCAATGGCTAACAACTGTCAGAAGCAAAAGCTTGCCATGACTAAAAACAGTAAGCCTGTCTATCCACCATATTGGACTTGAAGTCAGTCTTTCTAGAAAGAATAAATAATAGGGAAAAATCAAACAACCTGCAGTGGACTGTGATAGGACCAGAGGTGTCTGGTGTGACTTCCTGTCTCATTATCTGTACCAACTCCAGAACATCATCAAAACTCACGTTGGCACTAAAGTCACACCAGCCAGGCAGGAAAAACTGGGTCACTTTACGTGTTTCCATTCCCTGAAAGTTTATCAATAATAATTTATTTCACTACAGCTCATCATCTTGCACTAACAAATGCACCAATAAATATGAACAAAAATGATATGATGCATCATGCAATGAAGAAGTACAATAAAAGTTTTAGACCCTGTTTTTGTCAGTGGCGTATTGAGCATATGCTATACTCATATCTATGTAGACAAACTGGCACTCAGCGTGTGACGTGGTCAGCATCACACTGGCTGTATCTACTTTCCAGGACATTACCACTTACTCAGTTAAGACTTGGGTGATGTGGCGGTCAAGGTTAACATGTGAAGAAAAAACATCAGATTGTGGATTTGAACCAAAGACCTTTGGGCGAGCAGGAAGCATCTAGTAGTTGCTATGATACTGCAGCTTCCAAGGTAATGTGCATACTTAAGCATTTTCTTTTAAAGTATTTAAAATTATCTTATAATCTTTTTGTATCAAGTTTTTCAGAAATATAAAAATTCAGGAAACACAATACTATCTAATGGTTGGGATTCACAGGGGAATATTATATTATAAATCACATGTTGTTTGGATCTAAACAAGTTAAATTACTCGTAAGTCTTTGTGAAATATTTCTGGAATAATAGCAGAGGAAAAAAGATCGCTATTGCAAAAGCTACCTTAGGCAATAGGAAAAAGATACCAATAAAAAGATGGCAACTGCAGTAAGAAAAAGAACACTTACTCTTTAGTCACAAAGCAACTCTCTCTCTCTCTCTCTCTCTCTCTCTCTCTCTCTCTCTCTCTCTCTCTCTCTCTCTCTCTCTCTCTCTCTCTCTATCTATATATATGTATATATATATATATGTTCTTTGAATACTCTATACCTGATATATATGTTTAAAACATCTTTCTTTATCTCTTGTTGTGAACACCCAGTCTGTCCCATTTGTTACTCTGACTTGCTCTATCGCTTAATCCTATCAGTAAACTCATTAAGATTTTAAAGTATACAGAGTTTAGAATTAAACAACTTTATAATAATAACCGATTAGGACTGAAAGAGTTACTGTGCTACATACATAGAAACTGTGTTGTTATGGCATTTGAACAATAAGCAAAGCAGCTGAACATTTACTCACACTGAAGATATTTTTTTAGAACAATGCAAAGAGTGTCATGGAATGATAGAAAATCTAATGAGGTAGTCATAGTTGAGATGGATAGAAGTCACAAACTGACTGGAATAATTAGACATAGACAGTCAATATTTTTATGGACATCTTATGAGAAGGAATGGATAAGAAAACTTAGTAACAACTGGCAAGACTGATGCAAACAGAGCAAGAGGAAAGCAAAGAGATAAATAAATACCTGGATGGCATGAGGTTTCAGGCTAATGGGGCAGTGGCTCGCCTGGAAGGAGGTGGGCACCAACCAGGTCATATTTTTTTCTGCCTTGCCACGCAACGGGCCTAGCAAACCGGCAGTGGTGTAACTGAATGCTACTATACAAGAAATATTGAATACATATAGGACAGACTCTTAAAACTCTTTGGCTCTTTGAGAACAAGCAACAGAATCAGTAGAGAAAGAAGATTATTATGGTCTGGAGAGAATGAGGCACCTGGGTGTAACCAGAGGGTCTGGCCGACTAACTACACTCAGAGGAAAGGCAAGACGGACTTTTAACTAGATTGTGACCTGTACCATCAGTATTGAAACTCTGCACTGGCTGCTGAGGATGAGGATGGAGCATGCATGGGAACGCCCCAAGTGCTGTGATGTCAGTTCTTGACTCATCTCAAATGAACTCAACTCTTAAGATTCTCACTCAAGAGCAAGAAAGTTTTGCTGCGCCATGGTGTTCCTCAAGGTGGTGTTTTGTCCCCAACACTGTTTCTGGTCTATATCAATGACCTAATTGCTGAACTACCCCATGGTATTAAAACTGTGATGTATGCTGACGACTTGGTGCACAAATAAATGTGCAACAGTGGCCACTCAACTGCTGCAAAGATCCATAGATGCATGGGCTGATAAATGGTGTGTCAACATCAACATAGAAAAGTGTAGCACCACTTTTTTTTCACCCTCTCTCCAAAACAAAAATCAGGCGTCATTCAGAAAAATAGAATACCACTAAGAGAGTCACGTTTGATGATAGGCTTACATGGAGAAAAACATCAACAAGGCTGCAACCAAAGCCAGAAGGAAGATAGCTATCCTAAGAAAACTAAGTGGAACAACATGGGGTGCAAATGGGAAAATACTTCAGAAAGTTTATCAACAAACTGTATGACCGCACCTTGAACACCGGTCTACTGCATGGATTTCAGCATCAAAAACCACACTACAAAAGTTAGACAAGGTGCAAAATAAAGCGCTAAGAGTCAAAACAGGTGGGACGAAATAAAAAACTATAGCTTTTATGGAGAAGATGGCGATGACTCAAACACTGACAGAACGAAGAGACTAAGAAACTAAGATACTAATACAAGAAGAAAAGTTTCTTAGCATGCCTGAACACCCTATAAAAGAAAGATTCCAATCTAGCAATAGGGCGACTAAAAAGAAGCAGTTTCATCCACCAGGCCCAAAGACTCTGCAGGCAAACCAATGATCTGCCTGCAACTAATAGCCCCTTAAATGCTATTCCAGATCAGACCCCTTGAAAATAAGATTATAAGTTGCCAAAACACATTGAAACAGAAGTGAAAGGAGTATTCGACAAAGAAGAACAAAATAGTGTGCAATGTAAAACAGCCACCTTAGCTCTACTTGATGACGAATACCCACATAATCTTTGGGTTCATGATTATACCATGGGTCAGCACAAAACCCAAGCAGAAGTGGAGGAGCAGGAGTGTATAGCATCCAAATAGTACCAGATTTATAGCCTAAATACCTACAGGAAAGCCCTGTCACAACTATGATGCAGAAGTTCAAGCCATCAAAATCACAGCAGAGAAACTGTTAAATATACATCATATTTCACAACCTGTGGCATTTCTGACAGATACAAGAGCAGTGCTTCAGGCACTCCAATCTGGAAAACTACCTGGAATATGAACACTACTCTCCAAACTAGGCAGCTGGTGTAAGGTAACTATGCAATGGATACCATCCCACTGTGAAGTTCCTGGAAATGAAAGAGCTGATAAACTAGCTAAGGAAGGTGCAAATGAAGAACAACCTGACATACCAGTCTCTTATCAACAAAAGAAAAGAATAATCAAATCAATCTGAAAGCCACCAAAACTGGCACAAGACGATTACCATTTTATGGACAGACTAGAGCAAGTTATTATTCTACGCCTTAGAACAGGACACAATCGACTTCACTGCCACTTGCACACACAATTTAAAATCGGTGAATCAGCCATGTGCAAATGTGGACTGGCACCTAAGACAACAGATCATGTCCTCCAAGACTGTTCCAAATACAACATATAAAGGCAAAACTTTTGGCCAAGAGAAACATTGGTGCAAGATGATGATGAAAGAAGATAAGACAAAAAAGAAACATCATCAGTAATTATTTGACTGACTGACAGTTTCATCTTCTGCACTGCTATCTGAAAATTTGACACTGCTGTTACTCAAAGCTGGATCCAGATGCCTATCCAACATAGCAAAGTTCCAAATACTCTCTGTTCAGCCTCTTAAGAAGATATAATTAGAGCATCTCTAATGACTACTTCAAGTACTAGTGAACCAGGAAATCTAGGCAATGAGGGTTGGAGATAATGATGATTTAAAACAAAAACAAAACATTAAAAACAACATACATCAAAAGCACCATACATTTTTAATCTACCTTGCTTATTTTGAAGCTTCGAATGATGTATTTGTTGAGCTGAGAGAAGTTTGTCATTTCTACAACCACATTTTCAAAAGTCACTGGTTCATTAATGTTCTCTGGCCAGTATTGGTCCACTTTGAGCTGTGGAATATTGGTACTGGTTAAATGCTGTTTTTAGATAGCTGCCCTAATGATGCTATTTCAACACTGAAAATTATATTCTGCACAGTCATCATAAAGTCATAATCCTTTGCAAAATATTATATCACAGCTCACTTGCAGTAGTGTAATGGCTTGTCGTTCGCCTGCTGGCACAAAGGCCTAGTGTGCAGACACAAAAAAGAAAATCAAAGCTTTTATACTGACATATATTTTCAGAAGGCTTATTCATTGTTCAGAGATAGAAAAAAGAAATTTACTTATTTTACAATTTGAAATTCTAACTTTCCTGAAAAATGATATAATCCTGAGTTATATCAATTGCTGTATAATTGTTCTCTATAATTATTTTGTGCAATGGCTCTACAGTTGCTGCCCATAACTGCACTGTAATTGTTCTCTATAATTGCTTTATTGTTGCTTTATAATTGCTTTAGCAGACAATAAACTTTACCCTTCCATTCTCTTGCAAATCTGACACCATGACAATGATCTGACACTTTTGCTCCCAGATCATTCGCCAGAAATCAGAAATGGTGCACTGCATGGGACCTTGTGTGGCAATGTACTCCCTCACAGAGTTGAGACCCTGAAAGCACATAAAAAGATGATGTGATCTCATAGCAAAAACTGTCATGGCAAAGTCAGTCTAAAATAAACACATTTTTACATGGCATTAATTAAGACTGCTGGGCTCTGTTGAGAACTTGGGGCTACATGCGGAAGACCCAGGTTTTAATCTCGGTAAGGTGAATGAATTTTTTTCTGTTGAGGCGCAAATAAAATTCTAATCTACACAGTTCCAAATACACTAGCCATGCAATGCAAATTCCTCAGGCTCAAAATCTGTCTTCAAAAGAGGAACATGCAGGCAGTAAAGACAAGGCATTATTTATCCTGTATTAAGCAATTAATTTTTTGCTCCATTAATAGCTTCATTTTCTTTACTCCCACCTGACCCACACTGTTATTATTTTCACTCCGTTTTTTTTTTTTTTTTTTTTAAATTACTAGTTTACTTTATTCAATCTGTTAACAACTCCCAAATGTATTCCCTGTTGTGTGGTTTTACTACAAAATTGTACATTCACTAGTTTGGCATAGCTTACTAAATGGTAGGATGCTCACAGTGTTGTCGTTATCAACATTAAGTTATTTGCTGCCAAATTGACTTGAAATTGACTTCAAACCGTGTTATATTAGGATTATGAAGCTGCATTCACTTATTTAGCCCACATATGCTGACTATATAATTAAAAAAAAAAAAAATTTAAATACATACTTTTAATGGAAAATTAATTGACTCCCTGGTCGACCCAACCTAAAACTAATACTAGATAGGTTCTGTGAGTAAAAATGGTGTCTTAATGTTCACCACATCATGCATGAGTGCTGGTTGGTCTATTAACCTGTTGCCTCAAGAAAGAAGTTTTCTGATATATCGTCTTTGGGCAGTAACCATGGCGCCTATATAATGGCTTTAGAACTGGTTGTATGTGCACAGTTCTAAGACATGATGGAAATGATTATGTTTATACACACATAAAAAAAAAAATTAAAATAGCCTTGTTAAGATGTCACTTTGCTCTGTAATGGCTAAGTTAACAAAATAATGTTTATCATGGTTATAGAAAGGGAAAGCAGTTACTTCTTTGCTCTGTTTGTGTTCAGTGATTAAAGCTTTTGACAAGGTCGATGGACAAACATTATGGAAAGTAATGGCTCGATATGGAGTAAGTGAACACCTCATTGACGTTTGCAAAAGCTTATACAGAGATTGTAGAAGCATAGTTAGAATAAATTAGGAAATATGTAAACCATTCAAAGTAACATCTGGAGTAAGACAGGGATGTGTCTTTTCACCACTCCTGTTTATCAACTACATTGACAGTAAAAGTAAATATGTCAAGCTCACAACAACATCTCACATCCATGAATAAAGAATGTAAATAAAATAATATGAGAATCAACATTGAAAAGACAGCAGTAATGTCAATAGGAAGAAAGAAGCAGAATTTAAATATAACATTAAAGCACACATATATTAAACAGGCATCCGAGTTAAAATATCTTGGAACAACATTCACTGAAGATGCTAAATTTGATGAAGAAATTGACATCCAATGCAGTCAAGCAGGCCAAGTACTAGGACAGCTTGCTCCCCTCTTACAGCATAAAGCAATCCCAGTCAGCACAAAGAAACATCTCATACAAAGCATATTCATTTCCACCCTATGCTAACAGTGGCAGACGTGGTCACTCATAAAAAAATTTGAAAAAATTAGTAACCATGGAAATGAGGTGTCTTAAAAAGACTGTAGAAGTGACCAGGAGAGACAAAATCAGGAATAAGGTCATTCAAGATAAAGTTGGCACAGAACCAATTATAAATTACATAGAAAGACAGCAAATCAAATTGTTTGCCCACTTGGAGAGAATGCCTTCTGATGCTATACCACACATGGCATATACCAAAAGAGGAGAGGGACGTAGAGCAAGAGGTAGAACAAGAACAAGATGGGAAGATAACAGAGAAACTCAAAAGCACCAAAATGTGTCTATGTTCGAAGTAACCAGAAGAGCACTAAGCACTAAGCTTGCCTGTCAGCCTGGTGGTCTAGTGGTTCGGGTTCCATTCCCTGAAGTTAAAAAAAATATATATTGATCAAGACACAGAATCTCTTCTGCTTCTTTCTCTTTTCATCTAGTTTCGTTTCTTAGAATTGTTTTTCAGAGAATTATAAGGATGTGGTTATTTTCAACAAAAGTCATTGCACCTAACAATATACAGCAAAATATTCCTGGCATTAAATTGTGCAATGTATTGTTTGAGTCCACATTATTCAACTCTGTAGTAACGAACCTGATAAGATAAGATACAGTGAAATGTTGTATTGTTGTTTTTGAACTGTTGATGCTAACATTATCAAAATTATCACAATCCACTATCAAAATCCCCACAAAGCAGTCTGCTGCCAACACAAATAAACAGATACAGAACAAAGGTAAAAACTACTCAACTTACAAACAGACAGATACAGAACAAAGGTAAAAACTACTCAACTTACAAACAGACAGATACTGAACAAAGGTAAAAACTACTCAACTCACCGGGATGTAATTAGCATTGATAAAATCATTTGTTTCCTCATCTTCTGGCAGCACATTCAGCTTGACACGGCTGTGATCATCTAATCCATCATATGAGATTATAAGAATAAGATTATTTTTTAAATAAATAAATGCTTGTCAAAAGATAATCATCATCAGGTTTCTTGCTGACTGGCATGGGCGACCATAAGTGTCCACATTATGTGGTAATTCGTGTGCTGACATCTTTCTATACAACAATGATCATTTATATAATGTTTTCCCTTCCCACAGCTTGCACATATCTCCTTTGTTAAGACAATATTTCCTTTTCCTATAACCAGCACACATCTCCATGAGGTGTCTTAAAAAGACCTTAGGAGTGACCAGGAAAGACAAAATCAGGAATAAGGTCATTCAAGATAAAGTTGGCACAGAACCAATTATAAATTACATAGAACGACAGCAAATCAAATGGTTTGCCCACTTGGAGAGAATGCCTTCTGATGCTATACCACACATGACGGTTAAAATGGACGCTAGACAGCGGCGCTGTTTGAAGCAGAGGCAAATTTTTTGCGAAGTATTTTTGCTTCTTTTTGTAGGCTGGATATAGTTTCGTCGCCCAGCTTCTGAGCTGAATGCATGGCGTGACCCTGTGAGCTGCGGATTGCATTTGGAATGTATTTTTGACTGTGACCAACGTGGTGGTGTGAATTGTAGATTCAAAAAATGGCGTGATGCCTGTTGTGCAATGTTGGCGGTGCCTGTATCTGGTTAAAATTGATCGCGTGGACAACTGCTGAACTGTTGGCGACAAGTTCTGCTATCATCAATGATGAACTGCATTTCTAATGTTGGACTGTTTGTGTTAGCACTTCGGATGGCTACCGTATGCTTTAATGCGAGTGTATGCTAGATATGCTGAGACAGCAGTCTGTCAATCTTTCCACAAGGGACTGTGATAAACATTCTGGGTGTTTTTTGTTGGCACAGGAGCGGAGCAAACATGGGGCGACCCGTTGCTATGAAGCTGAAACTAAGACTACCAGACTACCAGACACATCTCCATTGTTAATGTGATGTTTTCCTTTCCTCTCCGTGTGGGTTCCAGAGCCCCATTTTATGGGGGGAAGAAATAGCCCACTGCCTCCCCAACAAGCAAGTATTAAACGGCAAATAATCAGGAATGTTTCCTTCAGAATGCATCAGCCTGAGAGGCGAGGAGCCAACAGTCTGCATACAAATAAATCAGATCTGTAAAATGGATGTGCACAAAAAACTGAAGTCTTGGAACAGGCCTAAAATCAAGAATTGGACGAACAGCCTGAACTTTAGGCTGAAGATTACAGATGGTAAATGCCAAGAAGATGTTTTCCTTTCATATAATTTGGACATATCCACAGTGTTACTATGCTTTCCTTTCATATAACTAGCACACATCCATTGTTAATATAATGTTTTCCTGTCCTAAAACATGCACACATCTACAACATTACTGCAATATTTACCCTTTCCATACCTCAAAAACACTTACATCATCATCACAATGTGTTCCATCTCAAGCGCCTGCATGAATCTACTCTTTGAGCCCGAGGATCTGTGTGTGTTGACTGAGAAGTTTAGCTTTGCCCAAACAATACTGCATTGATCATGTGTCCTGTACATATTTATTCACATACTGCTCCGTATTCATTTCTTATGTTCCAAACTACTGTTAAAGTATTCAGAAAAGTCAATCAGTCAGTCAAACTGATCGGATTCATTGCTAGCTTGATTTTCAGACAATGCATTTACCGATTTCGTGTTCAAGTGATCATGGTTACCAATGTTCCGTACTTAAGCACAGGCCAAAATATTGCACCTTTCTGTGACTGAAGCTCTGAAGTTGTTTCAGTCAGATGATTTCTAAAAATGACACATTGAAATTTTTCGGAAAATGATTTGGATGGTAAATTTACACCAGCTGCAGCTTGATCAGTCAGCTGTTCATTCTGATAAGGTAAATGCAGAAGGACACATTTCATTTGCGAAGATGTGATAGTCACCCATATTTGCATCAAAAGGACTGTGTTAGCCAGTACCATACTCATACTATGGTTAAGCTGCATTTAAATCATTACAGCTACAATCTGTATATAACTATAATGGTAATATTTTGTGTTTATATGACTATACGTCCAATTTTCTGCCATTTTTTCTCTGAAATTCTGTTCAGCACTCTATAAGATCCTGGATCCTCTGAGTGGTAAACTAACCAAGAAACATTTTTGTAAAGGGAAATTAATGTAAGTTAAGCCTGTCAAAATTCATGGGCCTGAAAGAGTTAACATTAAACTGTATGTATTCTCTGCCCTGTATAATGAGCAATGCAAAGTAATTAGAAAGTTATACTGAGTCTCTGGAGGTAAGGATATACACAAGAATAAATCGTATTTCATGGAAACAACAACAGTCAAATACACAGGTTCTGAAAAGTCTGAATGACAATAGTGTTTCTAAATGATTTAAAAAAAAGAGACACGTGAAACATGTTGGCCTTATTTAAAGACTTAACACTCTTATAAAAATTGTACTGGTATGAAAAGTTGAAGACAAGCAAGCAAGTGGCAGACAGTGGGAGGATAAAATGCCATAAAAATCAAGAGATGGATGAATAGCAGTCTGGTAGAGTGGTAAAAAACATATCTTGTTGGAGATCCATTGTTGTCAATCTTCACTGTAGGTATAGCACTTGACTGATTGATTCGCTATTTGAAATAATATACTCACAAGGGAGAATATCCACATATCTGTTTTTAACTCTATTTGCCTCTCGCTGGGCCTCACTGCAGGAGCTCTTGAAGGTCTTACATATTGCTTTTATGTCCTAAGGATTATTTTAAGATGGATAAATTAATGGTAACCAAAAAAATAATAAAGTATAAAATGTATACAGTAAATATAATATATTCTAATGTAACACATTCCAGTTTAACACCTTCCAGTCAAACATATTCCAGTACAACATATTCCAGTACAACATATTCCAGTACAACATATTCCAGTACAACATATTCCAAGTTAACACTGTTAATGTTAACATATTCCAGTTTAACATATTTCAGTCAAACACATTCCTGAATAACACATTCTAATCTAACATACTCAAGTCTAACTCACTGCAGTCTAACACATTCTAGTCTGACAAATTCCAGTAAAACACATTCTAATCTAACACATTCTTCTGTAATCAATACCTCAAATTCACTTTGCATTAAAAGGTTTGAATCCTTGTGTAGCTTTTTGACACGTTCTTCAAAGACTCGCATTTTAATTGGCCTGTGATAAGAGATAGAAAGAAAATAAGCAAATAAGAGAACATTGTTTTCAGAACATTATAATAATAGAAACAGTCATAATAATACCGTGGCAACCATGCCTGGTTGCGGCCTCATTATAATGGATTTAAATTTGCATCAAGGTCGATTTTTAAAAATTGTTTTAGACTCAAGTGCTAATTGAACTATAACATGATTGCCAAGCTAGCTGACATCCTTCATACTGACCAGATCTTGCTCTGTGTGACAACTGCTTCCAAAATTTAAAAAAAAAATTTGAAAGGTAACACTAAAGAGATTCAAGCCAATATAATGAAACAATTGAAAGGTATAACAGAAAATGTCCTGTTAGAGGTGCTTATGTTATATGTTATACTATCACAAGCAACGTCTTTTCAGCATCCCCATGTGTGCTCAGTCCTCCGATGCAGCAGTAACACAGAGGTACCTCTACTGATTGTTTCCATGAGGAGTTGGTTATCATATCTGTTGTCTTTAACTTAAAGATTTCATAGATGTGCTTCACCAATCTTAAATCCTCAGCTGCACAGTCGTGTTAGCGTCAAAGATTCGTCGTTTTCCCCAAACTTAGTCTGTACAGAGTTTATGATATCAGCTTTGTCCATTGCTATTTACTCCTGCATGCTCAGGTTCTAGATCCAGATGATGGAGGTTAGCTGCGACTTCTGATTGCTTTTTATCCATTCGGAGCATAGACTACCTGTAGTGATCTTCTGAAGCATGTTTATATAGTCTGCAATGACCAGCACATGTGTGGCTCCTTGTTCTGCTATGCATGCGAGTGATCTCAAAGCAGCAGTTATCTTCATGGTCATGCTTTACATAGCTGTCTGAAATGTTGAATGTTGAATTAAGAATCAACATCATAGCACTTAGGACACTCCTATAAGTGCCCCATCCCCATCTTCAGCAGCAAGTGAAGAGTTGGAATTCCGATGGTACCAGTAACTGTCTGATTGTATATCCTTTCCCTTGAGTGTTGAGCATCGCCAGATCCCCTAGTAACCTCTGGCATTGCCTTTCTCCTCAGACCGTGATTATTTATCTATGCCTCCACACTCACTTACTCCCAAAGGCCCTTACAACATCTAGCTTGTCATACATCAATTCCCCACCAAGTGGTGCAGTCTATCTGTCTGCTCATTTCCCACCACACCAGCATTACCTGGAGAAAATATCCAAAGAATGCTAATTACCTGGGACTCTGAAGGGATACTTGCCACTCTGCACGGAAGTATGCCTGTCGCCACCTTTCTCAACATGCTCTGTGAGTCAGTTACAATCACGGCATGTATTTACAGCTCTTGTTAAATGCCTTGGATAGTTCCATTGCGTCAGTTTCCTCAAGGCATTTAAAGTCACTGTATCTTAAGCCATTATGTGTATGCCATTAGCAAGAACACTGAAGTAATGGTACTAATTACTAATACAGTAATCCACATGTGAATAATGGGCCCCATTTTGCCCCAAATTTTGAGCTAAAAGGTGCAGATTTCACAGCCTAGATGTAAACCACAACCCAACATACCAACTGAAAATTTTACCCTGACATGCCACAAACCAAGCATTTCTACCTGTTATTAATCACCAAGAAGCTGCTTAAATGACATGGCTGCATTGGCCAATTCCCAAGAAGCCTAGTTAATGGCACTGGTTCTGTTTGCACTTGCACAGTGTTTAGAATATCCAGCTACAAATTATGACAAATATAACTGACAAGCATGGCAAATATTACAATTAAATTACAAAACGTGCTATCAACAAATGTTAAAAGAAAAGGGAAAATTTACTTTCTTGCAGCTATTTCTTGTTCATCATCTGTATTTCTCTTTAGCAGCCTTGAGAATACCAAACATATTTAAAAATAATTATTTTTTTGATATAATAAGCATATTCTTTCTCTAGAAATCAGTGTATCCGTCAGTCAATCAGTCAGTCAATTTGTCAGTAAGTCAAAATATGAATAGAAGTGATTGTAGTCAAGCTGTTATGAAGATATACTAAATACAACACAAACTGTGACTAGAAATATAAATCACAGCACAAATTGGGACTAGAAATACTAAATGCCAAAAAAAAAAAAAGTAACCAGAAATATTAAATACAACAAAACAAAGTGTGATAAGATATACTTAATACAACACAAACTATGATTAGAAAGACTAAATACAACACAGACTGTGAAAAGAAATATAAAATATAGAACAATTTGTGACTATAAATACAAAATACTTCACAAATTTTATTAGAAATGCTAAATACAGTACAAACTGTGACTAGATATACTAAATAGAGCAAAACAAACTGTGACTAGAAATACTAAATACAGCAAAACAACAGTGACAAGAAATATTAACTCTTTGAGTCCCAAGGAATTCATCATGCGTTCATAGGTTCCTACCTAGGAGCCCAATAAACGCATGATGCATCGATTTTATTACTTTCTTTACTACCCCCTGGGCGTGATGCTAAAGCCCCTGGGACTCAAAGAGTTAAATACTGTGACTAGAAATAATAAATAAAACACAAACTGTGACTAGAAATACTAAATACAGCAAAACTAACTGGGATCAGAAATACTGAAAACAGCAAAAACTTACTCGACATACTCAATGCAAAATAACAAACAGTGACTCAAAATACTAAATACAGTAAAACAAACTGACTAGAAATACTTAATATAGCACAATCTTAGACTAAAAATACTATATACAGCAAATTAAACTGTGACTATAAATATTAAATACGCACACAATGTGACTAGAAAGACTAAGTACAACACAAACTTTGACAAGAAGTACTAAATACAAAACAAACTATAACTAGAAATAAAAAATACAACACAATCCACGAATAAAAATAATAAATACACACAAACTGTGACTAGAAACAATAAATACAACACAAACTGTGACGAGAAAAAAAAATTAATACATCAACACAAACTGTAACTGGAAGGACTAAATACAACACAAACTGTGACTAGGAATACTAAATAGAACACAAACTGTGACTAGAAAAAAAAAATACAACAAAGACTGTGACTAGAAATATTAAATACAACACAAACAATTTACTATTTGTAATCACATTTTGTTTTGTTGTATTTAGTATTTCTAGTCACAATTTGTGCTGTATTTTATTTTCTAGTACCAGTTTGTCTTGTATTTGATGCACAGTTTAACATGAATTGATTGGCATTTATTGATGGAGAGAAGTTAAATAGAGAAAAGAAGTCACACCAGACAACAACCTCAAAAGCTAAAGTTACTATACTGTGAATTGAACCAGTCACTAATGTGTTATTTAGTTAATAAGTCCAGTTATCAGTCACTTTTTTTAAAAAAAGTATTTAGAAACCATAAGTTGTTAACCCTTTGGCTCAGTATTATGGATATTACAACACTTTGGCCTTGATTCCATGATAGATACTATAAATCTAGGTGAAATGTGGCTTTCTGCCTACACACGTGCGTGAAACTGGACCACAAGGAGTTCGTCACCTAGTTGCCGCACAGATGGTTTAACCAACTGTGCTAGTAAGCTGGGCACCAGTCACTCAGACAGCTTCCTAGACCCTGCCATTTAATATTTTAACAGAGAGTTGTCATTAAGTAGTATTTATAACTAGTGGGCTTTTCTCATGTTCCAAACGAGTTTTGATAGATGTTGTCACCGAAGCATTGGGGGTGGGGTGATAAGAGCCAGACTGGACACTACATCTCTGGGTGCCACCAACTTCAAAATCCCCTACCAGCTCGGTTCAAATCACAAAGGTGAGCCATTATCCATAGTGCACAACAAGGACGTTTTGTAGGAGTCTTGCATAAGTGTCCATAAAATCAGCAGAGAGCCTGCTGGCGCCCAAGGTATGGTATGGAATATTTCCGTGTACACATCACAACGACCTTAACTTTGCCTCACACCTGCTACCCAAATCACCATGCTACATATACTTAATTATAATTTATATTATCATTTATTTAAATTATTAATATCAATAATATTATTGCTATAATACAATCATTATTTTATTTTTTAATACAGTAATTATACATTTCAATGGACACACAAAATCTGATGATCTTAGCTGGGAATTCTATTTGTGATAGGGCTTATATTAGAAGCATCATGAAAAATCCTGCTAGAGCTTATTGATGGGTTAGGTCTTGTATCTTGGGAAATCCTGTAGTTACTAATGATTTTTGTATAGAGACCACATTTTTACCATGACCATCTCTTAGGTGCCAATCTGCAACTGACAAACGCAGCAATGGAAAAGATTAAAACAAGTGTGACCAGAACACTTAGTGCAATAACCATTGCAGGAGTTCCAGGCCCTGGCAGATATAAAAACAAATATATAATTAATTGACAAACCAAATTCACAGCTCAAGTGATACACTTAAATAATGGTAGAGCAAAATATATTTTTCTGTGTCTAACAGATCAGGAGCACACTACAGAGCTACGTCATCACATAATGAAGCACAAAACATAATTCCTTTTAACTGAAGTACATAAAATACGGCAGGCAATAGATTGTGCATCATGTTGAATGCATTATGAAAAAAATGTCTATGAAAACTGATGAAAATTAAATAGGAGGAAATGAATAAAACGTAATAAATAAAATAAACATTTAGACCAGTGTTGTTCAACCGAAAACAGGAGAAACTATTTCATGGACCACCTGCCATCTAACCAATCAACAAAAACAGGAGAAACTATTTCATGGTCCACCTGACAACTAACCAATCAACAAAAACAGGAGAAACTATTTCATGAACCACCTGACAACTAACCAATCAACAAAAACAGGAGAAACTATTTTATGAACCACCTGCCAGCTAACCAAACAACAAAAACAGGAGAAACTATTTTATGAACCACCTGCCAGCTAACGAAACAACAAAAACAGGAGAAACTATTTCGTGGACCACCTGCCATCTAACCAATCAACAAAAACAGGAGAAACTATTTCGTGGATCACCTGTCAGCTAACCAAACAACAAAAACAGGAGAAACTATTTCATGGATCACCTGTCAGCTAACCAGACAACAAAAACAGGAGAAACTATTTCATAAACCACCTGCCAGCTAACCAAACAACAAAAACAGGAGAAACTATTTCATGGACCACCTGACAACTAACCAAACAAAAAAGTCAGGAGAAACTATTTCATGGTCCACCTGACAACTAACCAAACAACAAAATCAGGAGAAACTATTTTGTGGACCAGCTGACAGCTAACCCAAACACAAAAACCAAATTTAGAATGCAGTTTATTTGCTGTCAGCTAGTTTACAATTTTCAGCTAATGCAACATCTGCTGGTACTGCTGCTTAGAGGTTGGAGGATCTTATTTACGTTTAAAGAGCTTTGTTTCTAATAAATCGAGCACTGCATTAATATCCATTGAATATCTGTTTTTTTTATTACTGCTATGGCTAAGAAGCTCTTTTCATACAAATAGGAAGTCAAAATATCGACAAATAGTGTAGCTGCAACATGACTAGGCATACATTTTTAGTTGCCCACAGAACATTTCCACAAGCCACAAGTGGTCCATAGACCATTTGTTGAAGAACACTGCTATAGACAACCACTAGTATCATCAGTTATGTTAAGTTGCTGGACTGAATTTCATCCATGATGTCATAAGAATTGTATAGGATGTAATGTAATGTTAGACTTGGCTGCAAGCCCTATGTGATTTTTAACATTGCAAGAGGATAGTGATGGTGATATTGTTTGTGTCCTCATTATTAAATTCACGATGGAGAAGTATTTTTTTTTTTTTTTAAACTGTTCAACAGACTAAATTTTGACCTTTAAATGTTAGGCACACACATGTGTACTTTGATGTAAACAGTGGGTGACTTGTTTACATGATATGTTGTCTTGCCCACTGAGTTTTTTTCATCACAGTTTGTGTTGTATTTAGTACTCAGTTAATAAAAACTTTGGTTGAAATGTTTGGTTGTATTCGTATGCCTCTTTTCCATTCCCTCTGTTAAGCTTTCTAGCCCAATTGTTTTTTTGTGTGTGTTGTATTTAGTAATTCTCTCAGAAGATAAGGAGTTGAGTTGAGAACTGACATTACAGCAATCAGGGCATTCCCATAAGTGCACTGTTCTGATCTTAAACAGCCAGGATTGTTCCAACACTAATGGAACTAGAGGTGGCAACTGAAGTCAGATTGTATGTGAGTCTCGCACTTTATCTGAGTTTTGAGTATCAGCCACATGCTCTGGTAACTTCCCATTGCATCACTCTATCCAGAATATAATGATCTATTTGCTCTTCTATATTGTTCACTTTCTCCCAAAGGACATTGCTGACATCTGCCTTAACATCTATCACCACGAAGAGGAGGAGGAGAAAAAGAAGTAGTATTAGAAGAAGCCTCAAGAAGAAGAAAAACCAATTTCATCATATTATCTTCTTCTTCATTTCCTCTTAAAAGGGCAGTAAGTAGGCACATTGTATCGGGTTTACAGCTAGGCTGCGATATCTGTGCCTTTTGAATCAAGACATCTGATTTCAGTAAAATACTTATTGGTGACCTCTTAGGGGGGAAAATGCCATTACTGCCTGTATTTACCACTATTGCAGTGTGGGCAGGGGAGACTCTGAGCCTGATGATTTAGGACCACATGGCTAGTGCGGGCACCATGGATTGTGCAAGTCAGAATTCTATTTTTGTCCCCAACTGATAGAAAATACTCCATATTACCAAGGATTTGAACCTAGGTCTCCCCTGTGAGAGTCCAGCATTCTTAACCATTTGGCCTGCCACTTCTCTGTTACCTTTCATATATGCTTATTAAAGAGTAGGAGGTCTTTTTTTTCTTAAAAAATGAAGCCAGGAATCCAAACTTGGACTCCTATTATAATAAACAGCTGAATAAATCTAGTTTGACTTACTTTTAATGACAAAAATGTCTTCAGCTTGAACGTAATCACAGCCTGCCTTTGTACAGACGACCACAGAAATGCTGGATGAAAGACAGCAACAAATATCACAACATATAGTTTACAAATTACTGACCTCAAAAATCAAAAAAGTGATTTAAAAAAATACCAGTCAAGCTGGTATCAAGAAAATAATTGACTGAACCCTGACAAAGAAACTTAGTGACTGACATTGGCAAGAGGAAAAATCACATACACAAATAATCAGATGTTTTGGCAGCAGCCTTTATTGATAAAACTACAATAAAACCACAACAAAACTACAATTAAACTAAAATTGATGTTGTAGTTTTTATTGATAAAGACTGCTGCCAAAACATCTGATTGTTCTGCATATGTGTTTTTTCCCTTCCTAGCATCATCAAGCGTCTTAGTCACAGTTCAAGGGATTATTTTGTTTGACCCAAAAATTGGCAGCTTCCTTTAGCCTAATATCTAGCCCTGTGTTAATGATGAATCTTTTGCTAATTGATCCTGGTCATGCAGTTTTAAAAATCTTTGAAAGACTTGTTATTTCAATCAAGTTCAAACCACTGAATCTGCATACAACTGTAAATATTTTATAATTTTACAAACTGATTTTTAAAATGTTGATATTTTGGCTTAGAATTAACAAACATACATGAAAGAGGCATCACTAGAAAACATATTTTGTTCTGCTTTAATGGTTTTAAAGGTAAAAGAAGAATCTGATAAATGCAAAAGAAGAAATAAGAATTTTGAAAAATTCATCAAAGTACCTGGTTAGTAGTTCAGAAAATAGGGAATTCTGTAGCACTTGTTTTTGAAAACCAAAGGAATAAAACACAAAATGTGATAAGAATGCTGAAAGAAGGAAATATGGATGTAGATACAAATAACTGTCTGACTGAAGTTTTTATCAACGATTAAGACAACAAGAAACCTACACCACAACAATGAATGAAATGAAAATTTGTTACTATCCTTGCTAATTATAATACAGAATGAACAAATAAACAAACAAGCTTTATTTGTAAAGAGTCACAAATGACCTGCAGGCCCATCTTACATTTGGCTCTTATAAAACACTCATCTTTCACAAACAATTGTATTTTATCAACAAAGCATGTTAAATTCATAGCAATACATATGAATATGAATGATTTGATTTGATTAAAGAACCGACATCAAGAACCGAAAAAATACAGACAATACTCCTCACCTGTGTCCTCCGCAGAGAAGCATGCCACTCTGTACGAAGCATACCTGTTCTGATCTTCCTCAGCATGCTTTCTGAATCAGTTACAATCATGATATGTGTGTGTGTGTGTCAAGTTCTCTAGCCAGCGAAAAGCTGCAGTGACCACCTCCACCTCCATTCTAAAGCTGGATGTTGTGATATCATATGCTAGGCTCTCCTGCACCAAACATCGACCATTAATTTTCGCTAAGAAGCCTTAAGCCCTTCTTTTGCCTTTTGCCTCTTGACACTGAACCGTGAACCATGTAAATGATCAAACCCTCTGAGCGAGCATTATCTTGAACAAATTGCTGAATTTCCACCTCTGTGGCACCTGCTGGCCAGTCTCTGCATTCCCAGCTCAGCGTGATTATGACTCTACACAAGTCTGACTGTTCAGGTGGCACTTTGACCCACTCTTCTCCTCACCTAATGTTCTCAAGGATGCAAACCTGTCTGATTGTGTCTTCTGCCTGAGCCATCCATGACCTACCTCTTATCAGCCGCTGACCCTTAAATGCACCCAGAGCTTCATGAATGTGAAAAGAAAAGCAAAGGTGTGAGTGGCATGTACCTACCTAAATACAATATTATAAATATATATTATAAATTAGTGATGAGAAAGAATTATCATCACAGCACTCCAGACAGATCCATAGGTGCTCCGATCTCCTCCTCAAAAGCTCCACAAGTGTAAAACCACTGATGACGCCTGTTCTGTGTTGGTTAATGAAATGTCTTGTCCCCTTAGCGAAATGTTTCTTTCTTGCAGCTCCAGGCTGCACCGCCATGTCCATCAGTCTAGACAGGGATATGGAGTCATGTCCTTTGGCGTTCTCCTTGGTACGGTAGTTGCAGCGCATGGCATTGATAATATCACTTCTGTACTGGGCCACCCATAGCAACTGCAGTGTCAGCAAGATAGTCTGCACGCTCGTTCCCTTGAACACCCGCATGACCTGACACAAAGATGAAAGTTAGGGCAGATATTCATGAAGTGATTAGTGTTTCAATCCATTCTTGCTTGATAAATCCAGCTTGGATTTTTTTAAGCATATTCATAGTCACTAAGAATGCATACATGTGTGAACTTTTGAGTACCAAGCCATGCTAAAGCCCTTGTTACAGCCATAGTTTCCATTGTAAGGCTACTAGTTGTAACAGCAAAGGCGCCATTCATTTCCTTGATGGTTTTCCCCCTTGAGCTTACTGTGAAGGCCCATGCACTTCACTTGCCCCTAATTACTGACCCATCTGTGTAAACTAAGGCATCACCTTCATCTGTGTTTTCGTCAATTAGTGTTCTGACTAAAGTGTCAACATTGCCAGGAATCTGCTCTCTACAGCTTCCATCAAGTCTGATATGGACTGTAATATTTGGAGAGGGAGGCATAATTATCCATTCATTTCCGAAATTAATGTCAGTAAAGCAGCAAACATGGTTCGATGGCATCCTCAGCCCAACCCATCCAGGATTTGCCTCGTTTGAGTCTACTCTTTTTTTTTTTTTTTTGCTTGAATAATTCCTCATAAAGTGGGTTTCAATGGTCTGACTTCACTTTGAGGAAAGCAACAGCCCTGGATAGCTTGATTCTGTTTTCCATTGTGGGGAAATCCAAAAGGTATCGCATGGATTTACAGGAGGTGTCTCTACTGCATCCAAGAATAATGCGCATTGCCTCGTTTTCAATTTTTTCCAGTCTGTTCATCTGTGTGGTGCCGATTGTCATGATGACCAAGGCATATTCAAAGGTGGAGAGAACTAATGTATGATACAACATTACAAGTAGCCGTTGCTCTAAGTTTGCACCTCCCATAACGTTTATTGTGGGGAGACCTTTCTTGGCTTTGGTTGTAATGTGGTCTACATGTTTTTTAAATGCTGAGCATTTGTCACATGTTTTAACCAGGTATTTCATGGAATCAAATCTCTCCACGTCAGCGCCACAGAGTTTAACTATCAGCATTGGTGTTTTAGAAAGGTGATTATTTAATGAGAACCAGATAACTGTCGCTTTTTGATGGATTAATTGTTGCCCCGGAGGTGTTGCACCAGGATGATATGCGATCTAATTTCGGTTGTAGATCGGAAACAATGTCATCTCTGTTCCTGCCCTGTCTGTACACGAGGATGTCATCTGCATATGATAGAGTTCTTCCTCTGCCACTCAGTTGTTCTCCTGTGATCTTGACTGTGTAAATGTTGAAGAGGATAGGAGACAATGGAGAACCCGGTGGCAAACCAGGGTATATTGTTATCTGCTCAGAAGACCAACTACCAATCGAAGCACAACCTTCCTCTGGAAAAGTGCGGCAGATATGCATCGAATGAGATGTGGGAGGATGTTGAGTTCCATTAACTGACACATTAGTTGGTGGAGGGAAACTTTGTTGTATGCATCGTCTAGATCTACAGCGACTGCACATGTTTAAAATCTTGCTTTAAAATCTTCAAATGTGTCATGTGCAAAGACGGCAGCATTATGCCATGTCTCCGTATTTTGTCTGTATCCTCCAAGTATGATTTTCTGGCCCAAGCACATTTTACTTTCTGATTATTTTTGCGGCGCGATGGGTTTTTTCTGCACTTTCCCCTTTTTATGTGTTCATCACTTTGATATATCTGTGGAGCAAGTAAAGAAGATCTCAGCTCAAATGCACTTACTCCATCGTGTAAGCTAAAATCCTGGACTGACATTTTCACATGCGGTTGGCCGCAGAGGTTGTCTAAGTTATTACTAAGGCCGCTATGATGTCGATCGACAGCATACACATCGAACACACACTAAAACTGCAACGCGTATTCAATACACAGGCCTAACAAAATATCTTGCAGTGTAACACATTTCTGCACTGCCTTTGAATCGATATTTCAGTATGGTCTAAGTGAAATATGCCAGATAAAAAGTGAAATCATGGCTCATAAGCACAAACACAACAACATGCCGCCATGACTGTCCCAGCGAAAATAGAACTTATGATCACCCTATTCAAATAACATAATTCAAATTTACAGAATGAACAGACATAATACAAATGAAACTTACATAACACTTTTTCCTCCTGGCAAGGGTCCATTACAGTATCGATCTTCAGGGTAAGTGTCACAGTTTGAGTCCACTCCAACCTCAAATGTGTAATTATCTGATTGTACTGGAACAGTGTTAGGTGTAATGTTATCAAAGTTAGTTAACTGAGTGATCATCCTCATCACACATCAGAAACGTTCCCAAAAGATAGGATCCCATTACATCTCCATCAGCATGTGGTGACCAATAACATCAGTTCTGTAATATTATTCTTTGGTTACAGGTATAGTGTTCATGTATGCCAGCACCTCTTTTGACCTAAGTTCTTGTAGTCTGGTTAAGGTTGCTTTTTTCCCATCATCTCCTGAATCGCCTAGTCATCCGGCTTCTTTGAAAGCATTGAGAACTTTAAAAGCATTGCCCCGCCAGCAAGCCAGTCTGCTTGTTCATTTCCTCTTATATCAGAGTGTCCTGGCACAAACATGAAACTGATTTCTGTTAGACACAATTTTTTCAGTGACTCCAACCATTGTCTTCAAACCCATCCTGTCTCTGTCTTCCCAGACATCTTCATGGAAACAGAAAACATGCATGGGGAAAAATATGTGTCTCAGGCTAGGTCATTGCATTTACCACCATCAACTCCATAGTCAGACTACTTGTAGTCAAAGCAAAAGCAGCACTGTCTTCCTTTACAGTTTTCCCTCAACCAGAACTGTGAAAGGTTTAAAGGTATTCGATAAAGTCATGTGGAATATAAGAAGTTTAACTATTAATTAATACATAAAGAGTTAATATATATCATCTATATGTGATAGTAGGCAAGAAGAACATTATATTATGTTCGAGATGACTAAGACATGCATGGTGAGTTGATTGTACTAAACAGGATTAAAAGAGTTAAGTTACAACTTTCAAAGAATTAAACTATTAATTACACTACCAAAAAAAAAAAAAAAAAAAAGAAGAAGAAGAATCAAGTAAAGGATAAACTATATTCTTTGAGTTACTTACAATGCAGATTTTCTGTCCAGTCATTGGGTGTGGTACGGTATGGTTTTGTGTAACCTAATCTCTCAGCCTGCTTCCATGTTATAAAGCTTGTATAATTTGAATCTGATGAATTCACCAATGATAAATTAGTAGTGACTAAACATTTAAAGTATGAGTTACATGTATCAATCATTTCAGTCTCATTTAAATGATTAAAACAAAAATTACCTTTTCACAATTCTTTAAAAAGGAAAAATTCTTATCTTCTTCTTTTTCACTTTCTCATTTACTGCTGTGAGTGTCAAGGAAGATATAAGGTTCTCTTTCTTTCTCTTCTGGCTGCCTCAATCATAGGCACATTCTTGCTGTTGTAGAGTTTCTCTGACATTATCTTTCCAGATAATTCTTGGTCTACCTTATGCGTCCATGTCATTCTCCTCTTTAAATGTATGCCTTGTGGGCATTCGATTTGCTATCTTTATAAGTAATTAAGAATTGGTTCTATGTCAACTTCTGATCTCACAAATTTTTTTTTTTTCTAATATAGACAATAAATAAACAAAAATTATTAGTGATGAGTGTAAAATTGTTGCTTTTTAAGGATTTGAAAAGTGGGGGAGGGGGGGGGGGGAGGGGAATTCTCACTGCTTCATGACCCATTTTTCTTTAGTGTTCTCTAGGTGAAAGGGGCAGCAGGTCTGTTCTTGTCCCCCAAATATTTGGGCCCCTGAACCCGTAAAGTGAAAGATGAAGTAAAAACTTGTTAACCAAAATATATGAACTGCTGTTTTTAGGGCAAACACAAAAGAGGAAGATGAATGTTGAATGTTGAATTAAGAATCGACATCACAACACTCAAGTCACACGCATAAGCGCTCCATCCCCATCTTCAGCAGCAAGTGGAAAGTTCTAATTCCGATGGCATCAGTAACTGTCTGATTGTATATCCCTCTCGCCTTTTCCCTGAGTTCCCCTTATAACTCCTAGCAGCACCATTCTCCCGGACTGTAATTATCTATCTGTGCCTCCGCACTGTTCAATTGCTCCCAAAGACCCCTCACAACATCCAGCTTGTCATACATCAGTTCACCACCAAGTGGTGCAGAACCAGCCAGTCTATCTGCTTGCTCATTTCCCAACACACTGGCATGACCTGGAGAAAATATCCAAAAGATGCTGACTACCCAGGACCTCTGAAGTGATGCTTGCCACTGTGCACGGAGCATGCCTTTCTTCACCTTGCTCATTCAGGAAGATGAAGATTCACTGACATCTAACTAACTTTATGATGGTGATGATGATGATGATGATGATGATGAGAATGAAAGTTGTATGATTTTTACCTAGGTTCCTACAGTTGTTGTCAGCTCCTTTGACACAGACTATCAATCCAGAATGTTCTATCCTTCCCTGGCTTGGGTCCGTCAGACATGACACACACACTTGTACATTTATGTTTGCCTCTTCACTCTTCGGTGCAATGATACCTGGGTATTTCTCTTTCAGCAGTGGTTCTTTATTAAGTAAATTAAATTTTATTATTATTTTTATTAACAGTTAACAATTTTGATAATCACATTTTAAATTTAATATTAACTCTTTCAAGGCATACAGATATTATAACAAGACTATTTCCATCTAAAACCTCTGTATACCTTAGAGAACCAACCTTTGAATGAGTTAGACTAAAATAATTATGTGATTAAACAAGTTAGAGAAATAATTAGGCAGAATGAGTTGTCGAACAAAATAATAAGAATGAAAAAAATTAGGAAATCTATCATCATCATTAAGTGCCTTGCCAGCTGGCATGGGTGATCATTACTTTCCTCAATGTACAGTTTTCAGCAGCCTGTATCAATTTGTGTGCTGACACCCTTCCATGCCATGACAAAAGGTTTTCGAGCCTTGCCTTCTTCTGTCTCTTTTTTCCACAGATCTTTCCAGTGGTCACAACATTTTTCAGATTCTTTCTTTTCATAACATGACTAAACAATTATGACTGTCTCTTTCTGGTTTGTCACAAATATTTTCAAGACCTTGCCTCTTTTAAAAAATCTGGTTACTTTTTTTGGGTTGCTGTCTAAAGAATTTTTATGCAAAAACACATATCCGAGGCCTCGAGAAATTGTTTAGCTTGTTTATTAATTGTCAATGATTCACAGCCGTATGTTAAAACTGGATCTATACAACTTGGCTAGATTCATAGACAATTACCTGTGAATGCTTTTTCAATGCTCAGGAAATTAGAGATGGGCTGGTTCTGGAGACAGTGGTCTGAGTCTCTGAGGCAGTTAGGGCTCACAAATATCAGTTTCATTTTCATGCCAGGGCATACAGGCGTGAAAGGAAATGAACAAGCTGATGGTCTAGCAGGTAAAGCTAAGGTAAAGAGTGGACGAGCCATAGACGAGGCTGATATTCTGAATGTGGTACGAGAAGTAAGATGTTTGCGAGAATCAAGTTATGACTGTGAATCTGCAACCATGAACAGACTGCAAGAACAAAATGTTAAAAGGGGTTTGGCCAGACAAGAGCACTACACACGAACCCAAAGAAGAATAAGAAACCAGCACAGAACTGGTGTCATCTGCAGCCACATTCCAAGGTATTTACTGAGGAGGGGATCCATGAACTTATGGACTGAGTGGTTTAATGTGCAATGAGATAATCTGTCGATTAACTAGCATGCAGGAATTTTTTTTAATAACCTTCAGTGACATGGATTTATTGCATAACATGTTCTTTATTTTATAAAAAAACAGTTTTAGCCTGTCCTATTCTGTTCTTTACCTCTGTGATACATCTTTTGTTAGATGTTATCCATGTGCCTAGATACACACATTTCTGTACCATGTATTAGAGTAATAAAAAATGTCTGATAGTACTGAGCAGCAATATTTTCCTGACAATTTCTAAACTCAGCATTTATTTGTTCTTTAAACTCATCTGGTACCAAGAGATTCACTCTGTGTCCATTGATAACATCACTTGCTCACATTTTCTAGTTTTTTACTTGAATGTTGATTTGTCATAATAATAAGTGATTGATCGGAGAGGCTTAAATATGGTGTGCAGGTGTAGAAATGAATGAGCAAACTGACAGACTGGCAGGTAAAGCTACTGTGGAAGGTGTATGAACCTTAGACAAGGCTAATTACTGAATCAGAATTATCATGTGTCATGTTGGTCAATGGAGGCTGTCATGTTTCACAATCTCGCATGATCGCCAGCATCTTGGATGAGGTCAGTGTTCTTGTTTTGCTCCAGCCATATGGCTAGATCATCCAGGTATTTATCTCTTTGCTCTCTTTCCATCAATAGTGCCAGCTGTTACCATGCTTTTGAATCTGTTTGTTTTTATAACGTTATTAACAAATACTGATTGTCTTTATACTGAATGCTCTGTGTGAAGTACAATGTTTGTGAAAACCAAGTGTTGACTATGAAGCTGCCACCATTATCAGACTGCGAAAACAACAAGTTAAAAGGGGTGTGGTCAGACAAGAGCGCCATGCAGGAAGCCAAAGAATAATAATAAGCCAACACAAAACTGGTATCATCAGCCACAGCAGAATTTACGGAAAATGGATCCAAGCACTTTTGGACAGAATGGTTCAATGTGTAAAGGAACAATCTGTCCACTAACTAAATAACAAGCCTAGGATAAAATAAGATACAGAAATAATGGAAAATGGCAGATGTATGTCACTAAATGACTAGGGCATGGTAGTTTTAAATAGGGTTTTCCCACTTGTCTATACACATGAACCAGGAAAATAGAGGAAAAAGTGTCACCTGACAGGTAATTTAAAAAAAAAAAAAAAGAAGATAGCAGTTTATTTTTGTCATATTCAATGTCACAAATTTACAATTTTCAGTGAATGCAACATCTGCTGCTGCCTAAGAGGTTATAAAATCTAAGCAGCAATATAATGCCAGAAGCATGCAGTCACTACATGATAAGACAGAAACTTTTTAGCTAACCCCCAGGACATTTCTGATAACTACTGCTTGAAAAACACTGGGTTAAAATACCAACTGTCGGGGTTTAAGGAACATTCATAAAAAATTTCACTCTTTCAATTACAAGCATGCCTAAAACCAGTGGTGAGCGACTGTTTCAGATGACTGGAACTCAGTTTTAATGATTTATTTATTTTATGTGTGTGTAGCTGAAGATGACTCATGCACTAGAGGCAATAACTGTTAAATGTTATTTCCGTTTTTTTTTTCTTTTTTTTCAGTGTAGAAAATGTCGAAATCATCTTTCTTTCATTTTAAATGTTAGGTATGGTAATTTGGCCTTGATAGCCAGGAAAAATTGGTAATGGTGGGTACAATCTTAAATAAAATTGAGGAACAGGCCAGTTCCACAGAGTTGAATACAGTATACTGAAGATGTATTGACTATGAAGAGACAGAGGGGTGGAGAATTGGGCAGAGAGACTTTCAGACATGTCAGGATGCAACAAACATTCTGTAAAGAACCTGCTGACTGATGAAGTGGTGTATTATCGTAATAAAATTCAGCACAGCTCAGTGCAGTATGGTAAATATAATACAGTATAATATAACAAAATACAATCAAATACATAATGAGCAGTGTACTATGTGGGATCAATTTGTTTTTTGTCCATTTATCATTGGTCACCCTATATGATTCATCCTCTAATTGTTCTGTTCCTGCACCATAAAATATGCATGTAACAGTCCTTTGTGAAAGCTGAACAGACAGCAGTCCTGTAAAGCCAACAACATGCTCATGCATTAAATGCATAAGGCAGTCACCAGTGTAGCCAACACCAACAGTCTGTGATTAGAATGAATGGCACTTCATCATCGATGGAAGCAACAGTGATGACAAACCAGCACTTGCTGCATAAATAAGGAATGCCACCAGTCATGTGACAACTGTTCACCCATTATTTTCTTAATATGCAGTTCCCTGCACAAACTTATCCTTTTATATAAAGTAACACATGATGTTTGGCATACTATCAAAATCTGGCTAGCTGTTTTAACAGATAACACAACATATACTTTTCTGCATCCTTGTTGTTAGTGATGAAATCTTTCTTGTTTAACCACTAAACTATTGTTACCATTATACAAATGGTGGG